CGTCGCGCAAGGGGACGATCTTTTAACAACCAACGCATGGTTAAAAGGGTCACAATTAATTTCATTATTTATTTTCTTGTTGTACGTACAAAATTCTGTTTTCTATCATTAAGTAATTAATTAATGATATTCACAGTGTATTTTTTGACATAAAACTATGTAAGTTTTATTATGGCATATATTATAGGGCTAAAAGACCAAATCTGCCAAAAATAACATAAAAATTTACAGTCAAACAAACTCGCGGGAAATCAGATAAAAACTCGCGGGAAAAGACCAAGTTTTCCTTTACTATAGTCTATAGTTACACATGCAATCAGAATAAATAAACTAAATAAAAAAGAATTACTATATAACTAATTACAAATACAATAAGTATTAGTGTCTGTGCTGTTGTGTGAAACAAAATACATCATAACATCTGTGTTTAAGGTTGTTCATCCATCCTTTTGTTCATAGTAATTAATATTATTTAATTTTTTATTTTTTTTATTTAAAGAAATTGTTATTTTCATGTGACAGAAGATTAATAATGGAGGCACAAAGTGATGCAGAAGTAAGGCGACTTCACGTAGTATACTTTCTTAGTCGAAAGGGATTTGTCGAACACCCTCATCTCATTCGCATCCATCAGCTCTCTAAAAACGGTGTTAGATTACGAGGTTTTTGATTCATTTCATCGTATTCTATATTTCTTTTTTCAAGAATTTATTATTATATTTTTTATTTTATTTTTATGCATGTGAATTATACAAATAATTAGATATCAAGAGATGGCTGGGAGAATTAAGAGGAGAAGATATGCCAGAATCATTTTCTTGGTCATACAAAAGGTATATATGTGTTACATTATTAATTCGGAAAATTATAGTTTTTATCCCTTAAGTTTGCGCCAGTTTCACATTTAGTACCCCACATTCACAAAAATCACATTTTGTCCCTCACGTTTCAATAATTTAACACTTTTGGCCATTTCCGTAAATTTACAGTTAGTCCGCCACTTAAGGCAGTGGTGGTCAAATGTTTGATGTGGTTAGTTTTAACAGAAAATTGATGGAAATGACAAAAAATGTTGAATTTTTGAAACATGAGGGACCATATGTGTTTTTTGTGAACATGGGGGACCAAATGTGGAATTGGTGCAAACTTGAGGGGCAAAAATTGTATTTTCCCATTATTGATTACTAACTTTTACTACCATTTTGCCCCAATTTTTATTTTTATTTGATTTATTTAATAATTTATGCAGGAAATACAAGACAGGGTATGTTTGGCAAGACTTACTAGATGATGATCTTGTTACTCCAATTTCAGACAATGAATTTGTCCTTAAAGGTTCTGAAATTTCCTCCACCACTAATAACAACACAGGTAATAAATACAAAATTAATTCAATATCAATATTTGGTTTTATTTACGACATTTTTCGAATTTCGATAATTTAATTATGTGTTTTTTTTAAATTAATTTGCAATCATCTCTCAAAGAATCATCAGAAACCACCTCAATCTATGTCCCAACAAAACCATCATCGGAAATCGAAGAATCGTCCATCGACTCGGAAACTTCGACGTTAACAGACGAATATTCAGACAAGATCATGCAAGAAGCAAAATCTTCGATTTTTGGTTCCACGTTTGTCACAAAAGAGAAAAACGAAAAAACGACGAACAAAGTTAAGGTCGCAGATTCCTCGTCAAATAAACCCAATTGCACGTCGAATATATTTCGGAATTTGATAACTTGTGGAGCAGTGGATACAAATGATTCAGCTCTGAAGGTGAAAAATAAGAGGTATATTTTTTATTTTTTTATCATCTCCTAATAAATAAAATAAAACAACAAAAATCTTATAACATTTCAATTCCAAAAAATACATAAAATAAAAAAATAAATAATTGTACTTAAAGTGTAGTTGTTTAACTGTTGCAGTAAAATTCGTGATGGGGCGAAAGATTCGTCGAAGAAAAAGGTTCATTTTAGCGAGCAAATGGTTTCTCGTCCTTCTTACAAGCCACTCAACGGACCCAATTGTTCGTAAGTACTTTGACCACCACACGGGGGGCCATTGCCCCCGCACCACTTCTCGAAAAATCAAGTATATTTTAAAGAGATTTGTTATTTTTCGAACAGTTCGGTATCGTAGTGTTTGGCCCCCCACCCTAAAGAGAAAATATCACGACGTTTTTTTTTTCGTTTCTTTATTTAATATTGTAGGCAATGTGGAAAGCAATTCAAGCCAGAGAAACTACATGCACATATGAAATCCTGCAAGGGAAATAAAGCATTGGCCAAAGCTTCGTCTAATCCCTCGATTTATGCTACTAATTCCGATAATATCTCACAAATATCAACAAAATTATTCAAGAACGAGGACTCGGTTTCTAGCTATCTCCTCACTCGTTGATTATTCGAACACTTTATTTTGTACATACAATATAATGTTCTCCTCAAAGAATCCATTTTTAATCGCCACCTTTTCAAGTCGTTCGACAAACTTTTCTCATGTAAAAAGAGGCAAAGAATCGACACTAAGAACTTTGATTAGTGTCGAAATAACAGAACAAAGACAATTCTTAATTACTATTTTATCCTTTTGAGATCTCCACTAAATCAAGAATTCTAAGCTACAATTAAAATCTTGATTCATTTCAGCAGCAAATTAAGCTCTAATTCTAACAGGGTTAGGTCTATATTTATCAAAAAGATTTAATCTTTAATCTACCTGTGAGAAACTGCAGAATCGACATGGTCGAGTAGAAATCGGTACAGCTTCTTCCTCAACTTCTCTATCTTGTCATCAACACAATCCCCTCGAAAAGCATCTTCCATCCATTGATTTACTCGTTTAAGTTGACCTAAAAGTACGGCTATTTGAGAACTTTCGTCGCTTCTCAATCCAAATCCAAATCCGTTATTTAAAGAATCTTCCAAATAATCCAAGAACCAAGCACGTGAAAACGAGATCAACTTCTCCAATAAATTATCCGCATCTCTTAATCCCGATTTCGGCTTCGTAGTTGAAAGAAGTTGTCTTGAACGAGATGATTTCGCTTTCGGAGCTGTGACTTTTTTAGTTGAATAATGCTCTGTTTCGATTTTCTGGGGAGGGTTTTCTATCACGAGATAATGAAAGTTTTCGCCTTTTTTGATGCCCTTTTCGTCTTTTTCTTCTTCGTGTGTGTATAAAGAGAATTTGGAGAGATTCGTTTCGACTGCAGCTTGAACCCATAATGAAGCATCTCTCTTACTATCTTTTGCATCGGACTTCTTCGAATGGATTAAGGTATTAATATCCGCAGAGGCTTTTTTCATGCTCTCGTGAATGTTGAGAAATTGTTCGACTAATGGACCATGAGTATCTTTCTTAGATAACTCGCATAGTTCTCCGAACATGCTGCAATAAAACGGTGATGACATGTCAGCATTGTACCTTGAAACAAAAAACGGAACTTTTTGGACACAAATGGAAGTCCCTCTTAGGACAATTTGTAGAATAATACAATTAACTAAGAAGAATAGAGAAAATCTCGACGTTTTGTTTCATGTATTTGAACATGCATCATATCTTTGAAATGAAACATTTTTTTTTATTTTTAGTCGTGTACAAAATTATCCAATATATTAAACCAAGAACATGAAAAAAGAACTTTATATATATATATATATATATATATATATATATATATATATATATATATATATATATATATATATATATATATACCTC